ATTTATTAACGTAGTAAAAATTTGTTTATATCACGTATTTAACAGTTTTGTTTTGGTTTGAGAATTTAATTAAAGCTATTTGTTCAATTTTGGGGTTGGTTGTTGTAGTTCATTCTAACTATTATTTTGGCGGGAACAGTTTTTTTAATTTGGGATTGGTTTGTCTATTTATTTACTTGGATGAATTTAGGTCAATTTATTTGTATATTTTCTCTTTTTGGTTTTCGGTTTTTAAGCAACATAGTATTTATTTATTTATTTTATTTTTTTTTATTAGTGTATTTGTTTGTTTTTATTTTATTTTTTTCCGTTTTTCATTTTTTAGGTTACGTAGTAAAAATTTAATTTCATGCCTGCATTTTGAGATGAGCTCGGATCTTTTATTTAATAATGTATTTTGGTCAGGGAAAGTAATGATAGCTATTTTTTCCTCCAAGCAAAGTTTGCAAGTTTTTGATTGGTTGTTGTAGGCTGATGACTTTTTCCTTATCTTCCAAGATATTTTTGGTGTGATGTGCGTTTTGTTTTTTATTTCCCAGATATACTTAGAAAGCATAGTACTGTTCGCATATTTACTATTTGTGAACGATGTTTTGTGTGTATAATTTCTTTGCTTCCAGGGTTCTTCAGTTACTCCTATGTATACTTTTTCTTCATTATCTGGTGATTTTATCGTGGCTTGGTATATTACGTTGTTTTGTAGACAATTTCCGTTTAAGGGACATTCGTTTTTTATTCTGCAGTTGATTAAATTCTCAAACCAAAACAAACTGTTAAATACGTGATATAAACAAATTTTTACTACGTTAATAAATAAATAAATAAATCAAATAAGAAACAAAAAAATAAAAACGAGCAATATAATTTGACCCAAATAAATAAACAAAGCGACTCCCGGTAAAAATAACCGCCATAATAGAATACCCACAATGCACCACTAACCCGTATATATATAAATAGCCGAGAAAAATAACAGCATATGTAGCCTGACGATTGCATATAGCATGAAACAGACTGTCGCCTCTAAGTGTTGACTTCTATGTTCACTTTTATATATATATATATATATATATATATATATTTTTTATTATAAATAAATTGATTTAAAATATGTTTTTTTTCGCTACACAGTTCTAACCATGTTTCAAAAATGGAAGGTTCTAATTTAATTTTGTAATTAAATTAAAGACATTAGTTCTATTTCATCCTCAAGCGAATTTTAATGCTCTGTAAATTTACATTGAGCACTGTTTTGTAAAAATAAAAATATCTATAAGAATACTGGATTATATATCTTACTGTTTTTTTTTTCTATTTATATATACATATATATATGTATATATATATATATATATATATGTATATAGGCGTGCGTATATATATGTATATATATTTATATATGTATATATATATGTATATACATATATATATATATATATATATATATATGTGTATACATATTTATATATATATATATATATATATATATGTACATATATATATATATATATAAATATATATGTATATGTATATATATGTATATGTATGCATATATATATATATATATATAATTTTTTTTGCATTTGTTGACTGGAGTTGTGTATTTCTTTCTGATGTTTGTAACTGAGGATTCATCTTGCTTATAGCTATTATGCACTTGATTTTTTGGAAAATATTAATGTTATTGTTTTTTTCTGTGTCTTTATTATTGCTATTGTTTACCTTAGAAATAAAAAGTCCAGTAATTTATAAGATGGTTTAGAAAACCGTTATTAACAAGCATTTGTTTCAGGTTACTATGTTCTTTAAAGAAAAGTGGACGAGAGGATGAATTCTCGTGTGCTCTCATGTGGAAATGTTTAATAAAAACTATTTTCTCTCTGAGAGGGCATGGACTAGTAAAATTAAGATGGCAAATATTTTTACTTGTATTTTTTTTATATAACGAAGTAGTGAATGTATTATTACTAGACTCCACAAGAAAGTATTGGAGTTTATTTTTTGGCTAAGTTCATAGGTAAAGTTGAGGACGGAATTTTTTTTCAAATGTACTTTTGAGATTAATGATTTCATTTTTGTTCTTAGCTAAAATAAAAATATCGTCTACGTAGCGGACATATATTTTCGGTTTAGTAACTTTTTAAAAAAGCTTCTTTTTTTTTAGGTGGGACATGTAATAGTTAGTTAAGCCCGGACCGAGGGGATTTCCTATACTTACTCTATTAATCTGAGTATAAGTTTTGCTGTTATGTTCATAGAAGTAAAGTTTAGTAGTGCATGCTTTACTTTCCACCGATGATGGAGTCGAAAAGCGTTCAGAGTACATGAGGGCGATGAATTGTTTTCCACCCTCCAATCCCTTTCTCACAGACGAAACATCGCAAACCATTCGCTACTCTAACGCTATTTCCATGAAGAGTTTTCAGATGAACTACACTACTAAGTTCCATTAGTTCTAACCTTCACAGTTAAGACTCGTCATGCCAAGCACATAGGAGCGAACTACCGTCATTTCTTTCATATTCCCCTGGTGAAAGATAAGTTCCACTCAACTATCTTCTTACTACGAACCATTGGCCTGTGAAACCGGCTCCCAAGAGGCTGCTTCCCTGATTAATACAATCTTAACCTGTTCAAGTCTAAGATTATACGTTATCTTTCCCACATACCCGCATAAAGCTCTACCTCTTACTCTTAAATTTTTTACCCCAAGTGACGCTTGGGCCTTGTACACCACTGTAAAAAAAAAAAAAGAAAAAAAAGAACACAAATGGATTATTGCTGCTATATCTGCTCTACAGCTGCCAAATCTTCTCTTTCCCCAATTGAAAAAGTTCAAAAGCATCACTGCAGGTTTGCTGGTGGTTAATTATTTTACACCCTACAACCGCATTCTCAAATATGAATTGTCGCAACACTTTCGGTATTCTCTTGCTATTTTTTATGAAAAATGCTCTGACAAAATATGAACCTTAAGCCCATCAGTTCAGACCTTCACGTCTGAATGTGCTATGCCCCCTACACTGAGTAGAAACACCATCCTTTCTTTCGTATTCCATTGACAAGAAAAAAGGTTCCATATAGACAGCTTCATCCCGAGGACTGCAGCTTTGTGGAACAGACACGGAAGAGTATGCTGCAATCGCTTTAACTCTACAGTAATCCACTATATATGCTACCTGTCTTTATAATCTGCACTTCTTACGTCATACAGTAACATTCTACCTTGAGTGACTCTAGAGCTTTAATATATATTCAATTGTATGGATATGAGTATGTGACCCTAGGTTTAACTCTTTTAGGAACATCAGAACAACTGGTTTATTTTTACATACTGAATCCAGTGACTAGTCAGAACAAGCATAAATAAGTACTGCGATATATATATATATATATATATATATATATATATATATATATATATATATATATATATATATATATATAGCGGCCATAATATAAGGAACGGAAACAACAAAAACATAAATATGTGTATTACTTAAAAAGTAATGCATGATTAGCAATTAAATTTTTACCGAATAAAGATTAGGGTGTAATGCATAAATATTATACAAAGTTACAAAAATTTACATAATAGTTTGCTTTTTTTAAATAAAGATTAAACGGGACAAAGGAAATAAGCTACTGGACAAAAGTTAAGGAATGATGTTAATAATTTGCATATACTTTTAATTTACATTGTTAAAAAACTCGATGAAGCTTTTCAACAATAAGTAAAAGTTTATTTATCATTAGGATTTTATTTTTAAGCAAATTCTACACGCAAAACGCTCTCTTTATAAGAAAAAAATCTCATTATCGCTAACTATCAAGAAAAAGTTCAATTTCAGAAATTTCTGATATTGTTCATAGGTCTAAAAGTGTCGGTCATCGTGTAATTAGCAGATATAAAACCAATAAAACGTTAGATGCAGAACCAAAAACCGGCAGACCTCCAAAAACATTGCAAAGAGAAGATCAAAGAACTGTTAGAATATCTACAAAAAACCGTTTTGAAACTGCTACATCAATTGCCCGTAAATTTTATGAAGTGACAGATAAGAAGATCTCAAGGAAAACGGTTGCTCGCAGGTTAAAAAATGCAGGATTGCATGCCCGTATTCCAGCTTCGAAGCCTCTCATTTCAAAGAGAAACCAAAGGGCACGCCTGGAGTATGTGAGAGAACATGTTGTTTGGACTGACGCACAATGGGATACAGTTCATTTCAGTGAAGAGTCCAAGTTTACTATATTTGGTTCTGAGGGCAAAACGTACGTTCGCCGTAGAACAGGTGAAAGACAGTGTGTGTATTTTATATTAGCATATATATATATATATATATATATATATATATATATATATATATATATATATATATATAGAGATAGATAGATAGATAGATAGATAGATAGATGTATAAGCATATATATATGTGTGTGTGTATTTGTACAATTTATTATTTATAAATTATTTTTCATTTTAATTTGCTTAGCTCGACAAAAAGCCAAACGTATGAGCTACCCAATGCTAAATTGAACTCGCTAATTAGTAATCATGATAAACTATATGTACTCGTTAACCATTACTTCATCCCGCGACACCCAAAGATCATGTTAGTTATATCGAAGTTTAATAAAAGAAGTACATAACTTGGAAACCAGAAAACCGATGCAGAGATTTTTACAACTCAATGATATCATGTGGAAAAAAAGATTTTAAAGATGAAAAGGTTTAATTTAGTTTACTTCCTAGCTTCGGAGTATGACCATCTTTTTTATGTTTCTAAAAATAGATATGTATAATTAATCCGTGAGGAAAAAAGACAAAAGAAATGAAAAGTAAATATAGAAATTCAAATTTCAGAAGCAAATGTAAATGAAATCGTGTGAAAAAGTCAGGTAAATGTTATCGTCTAATAAAGAAAAAAAAAAAAGAAAGTAAGAGTTAACTTGCTATAAAAACGATACAAACAAAGAATGTAGAAAAGAAAGAGCAAAGGTTAAACAGTCAAAAGAAAGAAAGAAAGAAAGAAAGAAAGAAAGAAAGAAAGAAAGAAAGAGTCAATAACAGGGAATCTCAAGAGAACAAGAAACAAAAGAAAGAAAGAAAAAAGAAAGAAAGAAAGATAGAAAGTGTAAATAACTGAGAATCAAAATAAAAAGAAAAAACAGTGACGGTATCAGTTCCATTATGAAAATGTCTACCTCTCTTTCTTTTCTCATATTCTCCCGGCCGTAGATGGCTGGTTGTTTTTAGTTCGGAGATAAAAGAGAACTTCAACAAAAGAATTTTAAACTTATCTAGTTTTATTCAACACTACGTCAGGTAGATCTTCTAAGAAAGAAAGAAAGAAAGAAAGAAAGAGTAAATAACAGAAAATCTCAAGAGAACAAGAAACGAAAGAAAGAAAGAAAGAAAGAAAGAAAGATAGAAAGAAAGAGTAAATAACTAAGAAACAAAATAAAATGAAAAAAAAGAAAGTAAGTGTTAACTTGATATAAAAACGATACAAACGCAGAATGTACATAAGAAAGAGCAAAGGTAAAATAGTCAAAAGAAAGAAAGAAAGAAAGAAAGAGTAAATAACAGGGAATCTCAAAAGAACAAGAAACGAAATGTAGAAAGAAAGAAAGAAAGATAGAAAGAAAGGGCAAATAACTGAGAATCAAAATAAAAAGAAACAAAAGAAAAAACGAAAGAAAGCAAGAAAGAATGTATTTTTTTATGAGAAAGAAATATAGTAAACTGAAAAAAGAAAAGGAGTATCAATACAAGAAATAAGAAAAGGAATAGAAAGAAAGAAAAAATAAAGAAAGACCATAGAAAAAAGAGTGAAATTAGACATAAAAGAAAGAAAAAAAAATGAAAAAAAAAAAGATGAAAGGAGAAAAAAAGAACAAGAGACCATAACGAAAAGAAAGAAAGAAAGAAAGTCATAGAGAAACATCTTATATCCCAAGAGTTCCTCCTTCATAGTGGACGCTTTAAGTAGCACGCCCACCGAAATTTACGGGTCAAGGGAGTGCAAATATACAAATCAGCAATATGATAAAAAAAAAATCCTAATCATAATTAATAATGAAATTGCATCCCCCTCAGAATTCCAATTATAATAAGTTTGATCCAGTCTGGCACAGGGACCCCAGATCTAAATACATTGTAATATAACAATCTAGACTAGCTCGTTGATCATTACTCTTTGATGAGATGCCCAAGAATCTAATTAACAATAACTGAAACTATCAAAATGAAAGAACGAAGGAACATATCGCATTATGCATGTCACCCTACAGCAAAATTCTCCTCATGTCTGACTCGACTGCATGTTGTCATGTCCGAGCTTGCTGGCATTTAGGGCCCCGTACGACACTCGACCTGCCAGTTATTCGCTGCCAGAGTTACGGGCAGAACAGCCGACACTCATTAACAGAAAGGCGGACAGACGAATCAATGACGGCGTTAGGACTGGGTATCAGGGTTGAAGAGTCAAATTAAGATCTCAAATATAGCATCTTAATACCATTTGGAGTGGACACAAGTGCACAATTTTAATCTAATTTATTAGTGCTTAAAAAAAAAGTGGACCCGAACTGGGTGGAGTGGTGTGAGCATCGCAAGAGGCGAGGGAAGGGATTCTGTCAGGATCGGTTTTAATACACTTAAATTGTTTTGGAGATGCTGGAATGAAAAGTTTCTATTATTACAAGCAATTTATGATTTAGTTGTGAGAAAACGACAATTGTAGAAAGATCATAATAATGGTTTATTGCTTTTAATTGATTCATTTCTCATTTTACGGTATATCAACCCTTTTCAGGTTGTTTAAAGCCAGAAAATAATTTTAGATTGTAAGAATTTTAAGGGGATTCTAATGATTTACTAATACAAGTCTTACTAATTAACTAATAGCTGGGGAAGAAGAGGTGGCTTCATACCGTTCCCAATTTAGACGATCATGGCTCTCCACTTCTCCCTATCCCTTGTAGCTCTCAATAAGTTTTGTCACCTTGCTACTTCCCCCAGGTTTTGTTCTGTCACCCACTTGCTTAAGCCGCTAGATATGTCATGCGTTGCTTTCTCTTGTCTCTTTTTCCCTCTATTCGACCTGTGAGTATCAGATTCTCTAAGCCGTTTTTTCTCATTAAGAGTCCCAGAAATTTCAGCTGCCTCTTCCTGATGTTAAGTATAAGTGCTGTAGCATATCTACGGAAGATAATATATATGTCCCCATTCACATAAATACAGTAGTAAATACTGCATGTTGGTCTGCAGTTGGAGATTCATCTCCAGTCATGCTGGTCAAACTCTCTGCTTCCGGACAGAGAGGATCCCCAGACGAGGCTATGTCGAATGGCAGAGTCTCATATTGGGAAACAGCTACCCGACACAGTTTTATATGGGGTCTACGGGGAATTTTTGGTCGAGCCTACGGGCTCGGAACCCCACATTAAATTCGACCTTGTGCCACATCTGACTGCGTGGGGCGGTTGGTAGATATACTGCAGTTGGAGATTCATTGTGGAATTCATTTGACTCACTTCTAACAGATGACTACTTCGTCTACACGCCGCTGGTGAATCTTATATATGTTGTTCTTGTCCTAAGTATTATCGCTCATTACCCACTTCCGAGTGATTATTCTATTCAGTAACCTTCGCTAGGTTACAACAATGAGCTTCCTCTTTGTTTGCATCCTATCCAAAACCTCATCGTTGCTCACACGCTCAGTCCATGATATCCTTAGCATCCTTCTGTAGAACCATACCTCCGCCGCCTAGAGTGTCTTCTTCATCTTTGAGGAGACCGTTCAACATTCGCTGCCGTAAAGGAAGATAGATGTCACATAGCAGTTCAGTACTCTTTTCTTTGTTACCAAAGAAATCCTTCTGTCTCGTAATACTCTGCTTAGATTTTGGAATGCGTTTTTGGCCATTCCAGTAAGTCTTCGTAGCTCAGCGTCACACTTGTTGTTCTCTGTCAAAACACATCAGAGAAATTTAAATTCACCCTTAAAACACTTTCATTTGACTTTACGTTATTCGGACTATTGTCCTCTTCTTTGTCGCCATATTTATTACAACTTTTCGGTCGTTGTACGCTCAATAACCGGTTAAGGCGGTGGAGAGGGGAATTAACAGGAGATTACTGATAATTGACATCCATTAAACATGATATGTGGAACTAGAACAGTCTACCCCAGTGAGCAAAATAAAGGGTTCAGTTCGACATTCCAACCACCTGAAGAAGTCCGGAGAGTACAACGGTTGAAACGTTGTAATAAATATGGCGACAAAGATGAGGACAATAGTCCGAATAATCTAAATAGTGTACATACCTCATATCAGAAATATAGACAGATACTGAAGAAGGCCGGAGCGTATAACGGCCGAAACTTTGTAATAAATATGGCGACAAAGATGAGAACAATAGTCCGAATAATGTAAATAGTGAATACCATTCCGGTTTTTAATCTGTTGTATAGCTCTCTCATGTTGGGAGGTCAACAGCACCAATAAAATGTAGCATCTTCTCTCCCGGCCGGTGATCGCGAGTTGCTTTTGGTTCCAGAGATGAAAGGAATTCTGTTGCATTGGACACTCGTTCTGGGATCTCTTGGTGGCGGTATCAGTTCCGTTATAAAAATGTCTACCTCTCTTGCTTTTCTCATATTCTCCCGGCCGTAGATCGCTGGTTGTTTTTAGTTCGGAAATAAAAGAGAACTTCAACAAAAGAATTTTAAACTTATCTAGTTTTATTCAACACTACGTCAGGTAGATCTTCTCCCTAGCCAGTGGATTTACTCTCACCTGAGCAACCCCCCAACCCTCAACGCCACTGGGAAGCAAGTTTACATTGTTCGACGTGTCAAACTGAACTTTCCGAAATCCCTTTCTACATCCAACATTTCCAGGCTAGGTTTTAGCCAATCTAAAACGACTTCCTTTGTTTTCCGGTATCTGACCTCAAAGGTCAATATGAGAAAGTCAGAGGAGAAATACAATTTTCTAAAAAATTATAGTCTGATAGACTATTATTTAAGACTTCAACCCAGAGAATTTTAACTGAGTTATTTTGTTCATGTCGAGCAGTATTAACTATCCAGTTTGGGTCGTTCCCCTCTAATAAAAATTAGTAGTTTGCTCAGCTACTAATTTACTAATCTAGATGCGTGAAAGGGAACAAGTCTGGTGGTCAGTTGGAACTGATGATCATCAACCAACATTTTACTGCTTATATTATGCGTCTTACCATGTGATCTGGACACTTTCAGATTTGTCTCTGAATCAATTCAATGTTTTCTCTTGGACTTTTCCCTAATGCATCTTGCTTAGGGCCTGACCATGTCGAAACACCAATTCTTGCACAATAACCGAAGTTAAACAACGTTGAACCTGGTCAGTAACTAGATGGGTGACCGCTTCGGAATACTATGTGCTGTAAGCTTGGATATGCGGGTGTCGCAATGGATAACAGGTCGTAATTAGAATTCGGAGAGCCGAGTTCCAGTTCCAGTCTGGTTCGTTACATTCACTTAAACTTTGAGGAAGGCATGAATCCACCTCTTCTCCCCACCAGTTCTTGGTTAGTCACTAAGCCGTATAGCAGTAAATCTTTATTATCTCACCAAAATTCTTACAATCTAAAAATAATTTGTGACTTTAAATAAACATCAAATGGTTGATAAACCTTAAAAAATACAAATCAATTAAATACATCTTGACCTCTTTCGATCCCTTAGATTTTCTCCAAGAATTTTTTTATTTCACTAACTCTATACGATTCTGGCAGTCTGGATATTTGTGATAAATAGCAGCTTAAATTCAAATCAATATTACGATTTGCACCGCCATAACATGGCTTCCCTCTGTTTTACTATAAATGCTTTCACGGTGGTTATTCTAATAAGCTTTCCTCTTTGGTACTTCGACCGCATAAACTTAACCATACTACTCGATTGGCAATTAGGTCCTATCGTTTTATTGTTGAAATATCTAGATGTAACAGTAAGTTTGTTTTTTAACAGTCTCTGCTTTCGAACTACTCGCCCATGGAACTCTCTTCCAGCTCCCATCTTCCGTGAAATCTATGGGCTTCAAAAATTTAAATGCAACATCAATCGCTATCTTCTGTCTTCCTGAATCCTGTTGTTCTTTCTCCTCATTAAAGTCTTGTCATTCTCTTTCACTGTGAGTAACCCTTGGCGTCTTAGTGGGATTATCGCCTTGTTTGGGTTGAAATGATTTATAAAAAACTCGTGAATATCAACTGAAAATATGATGAAAGGAATATTAGTCAAATATTAAATTAATAAACGTTACTATTATTTAATCATATAAAAATTAAGATAATGGCTACAAATATTAATCGATAAAAACCAACTGAAATTAAGATGAAAAACATATTAGTAAAAAATAATAATGGTTGACAATATAAATTCGATACTAGTAATAGAATATAATGAGGAAAATCAAATGAAATTAAAAAGAAAGAAATACTAGCCAAATCAAATAACAGTAGACAATGTTGCACTTAATAATAATAATAATAATAACCCACCTGATGCAGAAACGATGGCAAAATAAACCCCTTCATGGCCAATACTCTGCCCGTACCAAAAAAGCTGATGTAGACAAACACCGTACCCATCAATGGCTACGTAGTGCAAGGTTAAAAGTAGAAACCAAAGGTTTTATTCTTTCTGCACAGTACCAATGTTTGTGAACTAGAAATTATCAAGCACACATATTGAAATACCATGTTAACCCAAAATGTAGACTCTGTGATAAATATCCAGAAACAATTGATCATCTTGTATCAGGTTGCACGGTATTGGCACCCAATGAATATAAAACCCGGCATGACAAAGTGGGCCAATATCTGCACTGCAAAATCTGCAACTTCCACGGGAAGAAAACTGAAAGTAATTGGTATGAACACCACCCAGACCCAGTTACGGAGATAGGACCTGTATATATTTTATGGGGGTACACAATACACACAGATAGAACAATCAAATCTAACCGTCCAAACATTGTTATTAGAGACCGCAAACAAAAAATCGACTCCTTATTTATATGGCAATCACAGTAGACTGCAATGTATCTTTGAAGATCTTCAAAAAGCTATCAAAATACAAGGACCTTGAAATCGAAATCTCAAAAATGTGGCACATGGGAACATCAACAATCCCTGTTGTAGTTGGAGCCCTCGGATTGGTTGGAAAAGATTCCAGTAGACTCATTGAAGGAATTCCTGGAAGCCCATGACTTACAAGAAATATAAAAAATTGTTCTCGTGATTAGAGCGCGCATCTTATAAACGGCTTTATCTATGTAAAATATGTGTGTGTGTTTGTGCGTTAACTGGTCAGTGGAAAATGTCATGATGCGATTTCTGACCTTACCATGATGTTCACCCGGAAAGAACTGTGTATACACCAGAAATCAAAGGAAATAAAACAATAATAATAATAATAATAAAATATATACAATATTTCTAGTAGGAGAGACGGAGTGAATGTGTGAACCACTTCTTCCGTTATACATCATGAAGTGACAACAAAACCACTGTTAATGAAAATGGATATAGCAGCCATTTGTCGTCATTACCTAGAACAAGATGATAAATCACAGGGAAGTTTATTGGCATCTATGTTTTTTTTCTGTCTACATTCCTTGTGCTCAACTGAAAAGACCTTATTCAAGAGAAATGACATTATTCAAGAGAAATAGCGACATGACAGGGAAAATTTGAATTCAAGCCTTTTTAAAGGTGTATTAGGGGAATAAACATGACCAGCGGGGATTCGAACATTGTGCGCCGATTTCATTTCATGAGAGCTTCTACTGCTGACTACCGATTAGCCAATAAGCCAATCTATTAACGTGAGTCCTTCCAATACTTTTTCTGAGCTCCCGAACCAATCGGGATCTCATTTCCGCCCAAAGAGTCTATTTTTTTTTCTTCTTTCTTCTTTAATCTCCTTCCCTTGATTTTATTTTTTTTTTTTTCTAAGAAAGATTTCTCTTTCTTTTCCTTCCTTCTGATTATTCTACACTTTCGTCCTCTCCAAAATTTATCTCTCCACATTAACTAAATTTACACACACAACACACAACACACACGCGTATATACACACGAGGTGGTGTAATGGTTAGCAAGCTTGTCTCCCAAGAACATTTACCAATAAGCAGTTAGTTCGATTCTCACTGGATGGCCCATACTTTCGGCATTGTGCTACATCTAAGCTACGCTCGGAAAATCACTATATATATATATATATATATATATATATATATATATATATATATATATATATAAAGGAAATATGTTGTAGTGGTTCCAACGAGAGAAAAGTATATATTAAAAAGAAGAGGGTGCCGCAAACGTTTTTTGGTTGTAATGTGGATTTATTGAGAAAAATATTATACTTTGTTTTACATAATTTCACGACACGTGTTTCTCGTCTCACCAACCGTCTTCAGGTGAAAGTGGAGATTTCTACATATTATTAAAATAATTAATTTTTCTTCATGTTCAATGTGGAATATTCTCGATATGAGACATTCTGTTTGTGTGTTGGCAATCCGAATTTTCTTTCTAGAATTGTCAATGAAGAGTTCTGCGTGAAGGGTCATAAAACAATTAAGGTTTGTCCAGCGAGTAGTTATGTAGCTTGGGAAATATGTGTGTATATGTGTGTGTGTACTGACTACTTGTGGTGGGATAGTGTGTATGTGCGTATGTGTGTGTATGCGTGTATAAGTACAAATAAGTTTACGAATTCCTCGTAGTAAGGAAATATACGCACGCATATATACACGCATGCTGACAGGAACACGCCAAAATAGAAACAGATCCAAGAGCACATAGAGGTCACTAAAACATTAAAAGATTAAATGCCGATAACTACTCGCTGGACAAACCTTAATTGTTTTATGACCCTTCACGCAGAACTCTTCATTGACAATTCTAGAAAGAAAATTCGGATTGCCAACACACAAACAGAATGTCTCATATCGAGAATATTCCACATTGAACATGAAGAAAAATTAATTATTTTTAATAATATGTAAAAATCTCCACTTTCACCTGAAGACGGTTGCGAGACCAGACCAGAAACACGTGTCGTGAAATTATGTAAAACAAAGTATAATATTTTTTCTCAATAAATCCACATTACAACCAAAAACGTTTGCGGCACCCCTCTTCTTTTTAATATATATATATATATATATATATATATCGAGATAAAAAAAGATTTGAAGGTCATAATAAAAGATATTATCTTTACACTTTATATATATACACATACATACACACGCATATATATATGCATACATACATACCTCAGACATATATGAATACGCACACACCACATACATATTTACGTAAATATACGTGCATATACCCGTAAACATATACAAATGCTTCCACAACCACATACACATGAACAGATGCACATATATACATATACATAACCTTACATACACATACATATATATATACATACATACACATACATATTTACACACACATCCATATATACATATATATATATATATAACAGACATACACATATATGCATATACACACATATACATATATACACATGCATAGGCACACACATATGCATACATATACGTAGACGCATACACAGGTACATACACGCATAAGCGCGCGTGCGTGCATACAGACACCCTCACATCTAAATACAAGCAAGTAAATACTTCCGTATATAAACATCAACATATACATACACCAACAATTCTTCAGGATCCTTATGCTTGATTATCTGGATTATATATATATATATATATATATATATATATATATATATATATATATATATAAGTGAACATAGAAGTCAACATTAGAGGCGACTATCTGTTTCATGCTAGATGCAATCGTCAGGCCTGACGGTTTGCATCTAGCATGAAACAGACTGTCACCTTCAGTTTTGACTTCTATGTTCATTTTTATATTTACACACTCTATCTCTGAAACCCCATAAATATAGCACATCTTAGGACTATATTTCTTCATATATATATATATATATATATATATATATATATATATATATATATATATATATATGCGATATTATTAAATCCGGATTCAACGGTACATTGCATGATGGTCTTTCACAGGATGTTGTGCCTTATAATATATAAAAACTCCATCATTTTCTCCGTTTGACAGGAGAGAAAAGATGTTCCTGGTGTCCAACAAAACGTTCAAGCCTTTTTTTTTTCACCCCACCAAGATAGAGACAAATAGATATATAAAGATATAAATGAGATAGTAACATTTCAGTGATAGATACATTACAGAAATAGATAGACAGATAGATAGATAGATAGAGAGAGAGAGAGAGAGAGAGAGAGAGTGGAAGAGAAACAGAATTAGAGAGATAGGAACATAATGAGATAGATAGATAGATAGATAGATAGACAGATAGATAGTAGTAGAACTGAGATAGATAGATAGATAGATAGATAGATAGATCCCTAACAATTTTCGTAAGACAAATATACCATTAACAATATAGTCAAAATATGCATTATTATGTATGAATAATCACACATCGTGAAATTTAATCGTAAAGTATGACAATGAACAAAATAATCCTCAAACTCTCTTAAATAAAAAAAAATTGCTAACAACATAAACTCAATATATATATATATATATATATATATATATATATGTGTGTGTGTGTGTGTGTGTGCGTGTGTGTGTATTTATGTATGTATTTATGTATGTATGTATTCAAGCATGTTTGGTAAAATAATTTAGACTAATTATGTCTCTTTATTTTAGTTTTAAACCTTTCAAGTCCACGAAGTAATTTCTTGGTGTTTGTAGAAAATAGATCACGTCAAATTCCAAAGTTTTCTTTCAAATAAGTTTTATTCTCCCAGGTACTATCAATCTCATCTGAGACCATAAGTTCATACAACATCATTCAGTGTTCCACTAACTTGAGTGGCTCATTGGCATTGTTTTGTGCTGAAAAAATGTAAAATAAAATGATCTCTGATTACTTAGTCTGAAAAAGACACATACGCACGACACACACACACACATATATATATATATATATATATATATATATATATATAGATAGATAGATAGATAGATAGATAATGAATAGTGTGTACGTGTGTGTGCGTATGTGTCTTTTCCAGATATATATATATATATATATATATATATATATATATATATATATATATATATATATATATATATATATATATATATATATATATATAAGAAAAGATATAACTAAAATAAACAATTCAGCAATAAGAACAACATGACCAAAAACATACACAAAGGCACCAAAGACAATGGAACACGATATCAATAAGGAAGCTAAAGCAATCGCCCAAAAATTAGACCTAGATGACCGAATAAGTTGCATCATATATATATATATATATATATATATATATATATATATATATAGTTCCTTGAAATGACCAAGAATTTTTCTTTTTCCTATCCGACAGTATCATTCCCCTCTGCTTCTTTTTCAACTTCCACCATCTTCTTTATATCATTTTGCATTTTCTGTTGTCATCACATCAACTTTCTTTGTTTCTTTTTCTTTGTTCTGAAAGAAATCATTTAGCCAACAAGCACCCCTAACGGCAATTTCAGCTCTACCCCCAGCCTTGTTCACTAACAGCAACGGAAAGACATGATTAATGGCATTTTATCATGTTTACACACTTTGTCGTTAGATTGCCCTCTTGTTAGCCAAATTATACACTGTAGTTCGTCCCTTTCCCCGAATGAGCATTGAGTGGTCAGCAAGGAAGATTTAGTCTGCATTCCTCGTTCTATGTACATGGGTGCAAGGAGAGAAAGCGAACGAGAGAGAGAGAGACAGACAGACAGACAGACATTATGTATGTGGGAGAGATACATATATTCATTTCATACAGCCAAATAAATTTATTGTATATAGCTACAAATACGATAGATAGATAGATAGATAGATAGATAGATAGATAGATAGATAGACAGGCAGGCAGACAGACAGACAGATAGATAGATAGATAGATAGATAGATAGATAGATAGATAGATAGATAGATAAGCAAATGAGATAAACATACATTTCAGAGATAAAAGGAGACATTAGATAGATAGATAGATAGATAGATAGATAGATAGATAGATAGATAGATAGATAAGCAAATGAGATAAACAAATGCATTTCAAAGATAAGATACATTACTTAAATGCATAGATAGATAAGAAAATGAGATAAAAAGATAGATATATACATTTCAGAGATAAAAAGATGCATTAGATAGATAGATAGATAGATAGATAGATAGATAGATAGATAGATAGATAGAAAGAAAGAATCCGATTGAAAATATATATATATCCATAAAATAAAAACAATGCGAAATCGATCTCTGACTTTTAAAATAGTTATCTATCCCGGTTTGTGTTTACAATCACCAAATTTGAAACCATACTTACGTCATTAATAATTACCTAATACAGTTGCTGTCTCTTCCCCCAAGCTAACCATTAGGATTTTTTCCTCCTACCTAGGACACTTGCTTGAGGATTAAATTTATTTATCTTAAATTTCAAACAAACGGCTCTTGAATTATATTAAATATTTCCTTTTGTTTACTATCAGACCATCCAAACTGACCTTCTGTAAACAAAATCAACAGTGAAGAAAATCTGTTGAATGTTATAAAACGTTAACTGGCCAATATTAATATCTAAAATAGGAAGAATTAATCCACTTGTGTTAATGGGTTAATCAAATATGTTTATTTGGCTAATATTTTTTTTAATTTATTCATAAAGAAATATTTTGCTAATACTGTGGAACCTCGGTTCACGAATTTAATTTCTTCGTGGAGCCCGTTCGTAAACCCTAAATGTTTGTAAACCAAAATTATTTTTTCAATAGGAATCAATGTAAAAGGGATTAATCCGTTCCTGCTCGCAAGATGATTGCTTATTTAAACATTTACAATAATAATTTGTGCACAAGTTTATGCTCAAAACTAATGAAAATCATTAAAGCTAAGAAAAAATAAACTCAATACTAAGCATAAAATATAGACGAACACTTCAATTTTACCGTATCTGTAAGTAAGAGTGCTGATGGCGTAATTGGAAGGGGAAGGAAATATGTTATTGTCTGGAAAGGGGAAGACATGGTCGTCTCCTTATTTATAAGAATAGTATAGATCATTGATTTTTCCATACGAAACTGAGTAGGAAGAGATAATATCATTATCATCATAGAGACAATGTCATCATCATCACAGAGTTAATATCATCATCATAGAGATAGTATCATCATCACAGAGACAATATCATCATCATAAAGAGAGTATCATCATCACAGAGACAATATCCTCATCATAAAGATAGTATCATCATCACAGAGACAATATCATCATCATAGAGATAGTATCATCATCACAGAGACAATATCCTCATCATAAAGAGAGTATCATCATCACAGAGACAATATCCTCATCATAAAGATAGTATCATCATCACAGAGACAATATCCTCATCATAAAGAGAGTATCATCATCACAGAGACAATATCCTCATCATAAAGATAGTATCATCATCACAGAGACAATATCATCATCATAGAGATAGTATCATCATCACAGAGACAATATCATCATCATAAAGATAGTATCATCATCACAGAGACAATATCATCATCATAGAGATAGTATCATCATCACAGAGACAATATCATCATCATAGAGATAGTATCATCATCACAGAGACAATATCCTCATCATCATCATCATCAGAGGCAATATAATCAACAATTGTTTTTTCTTAACTTTTTCTTCGAAAATAAAAAGGCTCAGTAGAATAAAATTGGAAAAGAAAAGCACGACACAAAACACGAATCTATACAACATGGCGGTCGACTCAGAAAGAATTCCGTTCGGGTTAACTCAGTTCGGCAATATTGCTCGAAAACCGAAGTTTAGTTCGATAACCGAGGCATTTTCACCAGGAATTTTCTGTTGGAAAATCGATTTGTTTGACACGTGAGACGTTCGAGAACCGAGCTTGCCCTGTATTATTGTAATGACAAAAGTACGCAGATATAGGCTTTAAAAAAGCTTTATTCAACTGAGAATACAAGGTTCGTGTATAGTGTTCTTTTATAGTCCCAGTAAACAGAAATAGCTCTCTGAAAGAGGAGAGTAACAAAACAAGAGGAGGCCACTCTTGATTATTCATAACAATTATATAAACTGTCGCAGCGCACAAGAATTACCGCATGACTTCACCCTAGACCACTAACCATGGGTATATAGTACCCAGCACAAATTTTCCTATTTTTAATTACAATTTTCACTACCTGATTTTCTTACCTAAATAATGTTTTTCAGTTCCTATTAATGTTAACTCTAAGCACAAAGTTTGAAGAATCTGCATGTAAAATATTTCAGATAAAGATTTTTTTTTTTTTTTTTTTCATATTTTCAAAATCGGGTATGATATACCAATGGTTAATAGTGGTGTAACTTTAATTGATGGTTAATGTTCTAGAGTTAAACTAATTTGTCATCTCGTAAAAAACAGAGAGTATTTTTTTAGTTTTTTTTAGGTTAGAATTCATTAGATCTCTATCCCCACTACGACATTTGTTAGAATTTAAAATTATCGACTTTAGATGGGGGAGACTTGTTCCTAATATATAAGATCAAATCGATCCCTCTCTTCGGGAAGAGTTATCTGTACTTTGCTTTTATTTACAAATGGCAATTTTAGAACTGGAACATGTACAAGGATTTCTCTAAGCGTAGCTTAGATGTGGCACATAGCCGGAAATATGGGGCGCCCAATACGGATCGAATTCTCTATTCAGTCGTAATTGATCTGGGAAGACAAGCTTGCTAACCATGACAGCACATCGAACTGCCCAACTGAAACATGTATGAACTGAAAAGTGGGAAAAATCACGGATAACATTTGTTTGTCTTTTTTCTTAAAATAATCACACAATCGTAAATAAAGAGCTGTTAGCCCCACGACTATGGATTAAATATTCAGTAAATTTGAGAAGTCTAATTTCATTAGTTAGATTATTTATAATCGGGTTAATATCCATGTCATTGTTGTTAATACGCAACGTTTCGGCTGTTATCATATCCCCATGTTCAGGGAATTTTGAATCGAACCCTTTCCTTAATCTACGGAGGTAGATTGACATCAACCAGTTCTTCATTTCTAGGGATATCTTGTCTTGTTCATATTTAGTACAATTCAGTTATTGGTAATTTTCTCAAACCCTGCTTGCTACTGTTGTCTCAATCGACCACCTTCACCGTCGCTTCACTTATTTAAATTATTGCTGCTGCAAAAGCCTTGCTGTCAGTTATCTTAATTTAGCCTTCAAATGGTATCTATTGTTGTGCCAGGCCTACAGAGTAGCCCTTCATAACATAAAATATGCACTGATACCTTATTTCATTCGATGATTTTAGTACTTATGACATTAGAGTGTTCTCCTCTGTGGTACACTTTAAACCAGTGGTTCTCCAACTTTTTAAAGTAGGGGCGCACTTGAAGTCCTAACAATAATTTTAGGCGCACTATATACAAATTTCAGAAAAATACGTTATAATGAAGTCAAATATTGCAGATAAGAAATAACGCAATAAAAAAAATGATTTTGTTTGTTTTGTTTTACGGCTCTAACAACCTCAATGGATCATTTAATGCCGACAACTTTTTTTTTCCTGGTAATATTTTTTCCTTAAAAATGTATAGCTGGTAATATTATTTTAAAACATGTATTGTTGGTAATATTTTTTTTTTCAAAAACGTATTGCTGGTAATTGTTTTTTTTGTTTTTTTTTATTCAAAAATTTATTTCTTTACAAATTTTATTTTTTTTACAAAGTATTTCTGGTATTAAAACCTATTTTTACATTTTCCTAATGCTTTTTACCTCAATTTCGGGGTTAATTATTTGCCCATAGCTGAAACCCTAACAGGTGCTACCACCCCTGATTAGGGTGGACCTCGGAAGACCAGCAATTAAGAGGTGGTTCCACGCTCCTCAAAATCTCCTGATCAGAGACCTTGCTGTTGGACGTACTTTATCGTTGTACCCCGGACACGGATGTAGTTTATCGTCATACACAAGACGGACATAAAATGAGACATACATTAAGTTTATTCATTCTCGTGTTTATGAACCTGATGAGTCTTAGCGATTTCTTGATTGTTTAGGCATATATTTCAATAGCAAACTCTGATTGCTCGTCAATACATTGAAAAGATCCTCTCTTTTTGCACTTAATTGTGGTGAGATCCGAAAAGCCAGATTCACATATGAACGAGACGGGTACTGCAATATAATAAATTAAATATATTTATTTCTTGTATCTGGAAACATATTTCTCAGGAATGCCAGGGCGCACCTAGACATCTTCCAAGACGCACCAGTGCGCCTAGGGGCACCATTTGAGAATCATTGGGATAGTGAGTACCAGACAGTTATGCATTGCTTCGTAGAAGGGTCATGTCATTTAATGTAAACAAAGTTCCTTATTCTACTGCAGGAATACCAGAAAAGAAAAAAAACTAATAACGCAATCAACAAAGTGACTCCCAAGAGCAAGCGACGGCAACTTTTTGGATAGAGCAGTTGTTCTCAAACTTTTTTGAAGTCAGGGCACACTAGAAATCCTACCAATAATTGTAGACACACTATATACAAATTTTGGAAAAATATCTTATAACGAAGTCAACTATTGCAGAAAAGAAATAATGCAATAAAAAAAATATAAAATGAAACATATCTTAAGTTTGTGCATTCTTGTGTTTATGAGAAACATGAACCTGATGAATCATAGCGATTACCAATATTACAGTGTTTCCCCTGTTGAAAAATGTGATAAAAACCTCCCTTAAGTAGTCACTGAAGGCCATGAAATGTCTATTCTGTGGGGCAAACCCAGTATGTAGATTATGGAACATGTTGAAACGATTAACCACTTAGCGTCTAATGTTTCAATCCAGATACCAAAGAAATACAACAAGCAACATGATAACATTAGGGCAGGGGTTTTTCTTGATGTCGGGGTACACTTGAAGTCCTACCAATAATTCTAGGCGGAAAAAATATGTTATAACAAAGTCAAATATTGCAGATAAGAATTAATGCAATAAAAAAAAACATAAAATGAA